GTGACAAAGCAAATTTATATGGCAGATGTGAATGGCCGAGTCGGGAAGGGACGCCCTAGGAAAAAGTTTATCGACCAAATTGGCGATATTTTGAAAATGGGCCACGTTAGAAGTACCCTTAACCGACGAGAATGTATGCGTAGATATATGGATGTAAAGGAGGCGAAAGAGGTATGTCAGGATCGTGCCAAATGGAAGTCCGTAGTCTCTGCCTACCCCTCTGGGTGACAGGCGTGAGTGTTTATGTTATGTTATGTATATATCTATAATCCGAAAGTTACCAAACCCTCGAAAAATAACGTACCGCATGGCATGTTATTTTGCCATCACTATTTTCGTCCAAACACTCCGGACACGTCGTAACTTATAACTCGTAAAATGCACAAATCTTTCGCCAAATATTCCATAGATTTAGTCTACATCTATGAAATATTCAGCGCTACGGCAAAGATCGTAGCCGAATAATTGCTCATTGCTTATGTTTGTTTTTATGTGAATACTTTACATACCCTCGGAATATATTGATTCCTCAGATGATGCTGGTTTTAGTATGATGTTCTCTTTCATATCAGATATACTAAGATACTACCATGTATTTTAATCCTTGAGTAAATCAGCTATTAAGTGCGATAAACCATTTCATTAGCACCAGTAGTAAACGGACTCGCGTATATAATTTATTGATTCCTCAGATGATGCTGGTTTTAGTATGATGTTCTCTTTCATATCAGATATACTAAGATACTACCAGGTACTTTAATCCTTGAGTAAATCAGCTATTAAGTGCGATAAACCATTTCATAAGCACCGGTAGTAAACGAACTCGCGTATATAATTTATTGATTCCTCAGATGATGCTGGTTTTAGTATGATGTTCTCTTTCATATCAGATATACTAAGATACTACCAGGTACTTTAATCCTTGAGTAAATCAGCTATTAAGTGCGATAAACCATTTCATTAGCACCGGTAGTAAACGGACTCGCGTATATAATCGCGTAATATAAAATTTTAAACCAAGCGCTTATTTTCTGAGCTGCCACGACTTTTCTTTCTAAAAATAACGTCTAAAAATAAAAACAAGTAACACGACACTAATTTTGAAACCACAAAATCTAGTCAACGAACGATGGAAACCATAAACCGAACCCGATACAAAATCGCATTACGTTATAAGCCGATGTCACTTTGGCTACAGCGGTGCGAGTTGAGCTACGACCACGATCGCAGAGGTGACGGCTTCCTGTCGTTAAAGAAAGTTAAAGCCCAACAAAAATAGGATACATTACATTTATTTTAATGCCATAGTAACATTATTAACGTATATCTATTTAAACGTGTTAGAGCCATGCTGCAGTTATATTAGTAGTATAGTTATAACACGAATGGATCGGCTCGACCGAGGAAAGACCCCGTTCTCACAGAGTACCAACTTAAAATAGTAGCTTAATACTGTGTTTCGTATGGTGAGTGAAGATAACCGGAGACCCTTTTTACTGGAAATGAGGTAATCTAACTTAGTCCTCACGGGTGACAACTCATCTGCATTTTGATTCGTAATCGAGGATAGGTGACATGTGAACTGTGTGCTCATTTGTCACTCTATCCTATTAAAAAAATGTTATTTTTGTGCATCTCATTATACAGATGATAAACGGTTTCCATAGATATTTTCTTTAAATATTTTATGTACCATGTGGAGGCGACTTAAAAGAAAAAGAATCAATTACCACATTTTGTTGGACTGTGAAAAATATCCGAAAAATCTTATTGCTTCCGACATATAGATGATGGTACGTACTACGTCGTTTCTGCCAAACATAAAGTACTCAAACCGGTGACGAGCAACAGCGGTAAAGGCACAAGACGTCTGGTACTGCCATCGCCAACCCGCTTGTCATGGGAATTTTTTATGGATTGTTGAGATTGATCCTGGATTTATATCACAATAAAATATATTGATATAAAAGCAATAAATTCAGTTATATCACAATTTATAGACACATGCAAAATTATTCACTCGAGAACATAAACATAATAAATGTGTGTATGTACTAGAGACGTAAAGTTTGTAAATTAATAACTGTTAACGTTACTTGGTGAGCATAGATTTTACTGAACATATGATTGATGATATTAGATATTAGATTAGAGAAAAAGAGAATATAAATCACATGTTTGTATTTCCAAAACGTAATAAATATACTGCACTGCGCACCGTAAATAGAAATTCAATATATTTACTAAATCGTATATACACATCTTTGTCTGAATGTGGAAAAGAAGTTTATGTAATATGTGCGTTATTGGATGGCCTCACTAATTAATTAGATTGATACATAAATGACTACGTTTATTTTCACAATAGTGTCACAGACAAAATACGATCAAGATGCACAGTATATGCAACCAAAGACTATAAAGTAAAAGTGCAGTCTTGTTGCTGGTAATAATAATATTTTTTAATGAAGAAAGGACATACTGCATACGGGCATGCAGCTCTTCTATATAATAATAATGTCTTCAGGTTTTATCACGTTTTCCTTCGCCACCAAGCAGATGATACCTAAATCAGCACCTAAAACGGCGTGGATCAAACCCGAGGTGCCCGTGTAGGTGCTGCGAAATTCACCAAAATCTGAATATCTCTGAGCTGGTTTATTTATACAACAACTACGCATCATCTAATTTCTTCTATGGGTATTGTAAGAGGCAACTACGGATGTGCCAAAAAGATCGTATGGCTTTTGATAAATGACTACAAATTACCCTGACCGGCGCGGCGGCGGGAAGCGACGTCACAGGTGCGAAACGTCTGTTACACCGATCGTTAATCCGCTTGATAAGCGTGACGATTAAGACAAACCCTTCCTTTAATAAGAGAGTCCCATGTCCAGCGGTGGGCTTTTACGGGTTGATGAAAGAGAACAGAAGAAAAACCATTTGATATTAATTTACTTTAAATGCCATTCATTTTTTACTTCATCACCTAAAGGGAGTGCAGGCCGAATTACAATGGACGAAATATTTAACACATACGAGTATAATCGTTAGCAAAGCGCAAAAAATACATCTTGTCTTTTAAAACTGTCACATATATTAGTAATAACGGTATAATTAATTAATTTAGAATGTACCATAGTATATAAATATATATATATATATATATATATATATATATATATGAGAATTGTAAATATACACATATGACACAACTGATTCCTCTTGATCAATCAAATCGCAGACTGGATCTTAAATTATGGTCATTTTACGGCTAGCCTAAGTTGAATAAATTGAGAAACAAAACTATATACGAGTATATCAAAGGAGTACGAATATTTATATAAAAAAATATGTGGCAAAATTGTGAAATATAAAGCTGTCAAACTACTGTCATCGAATTAGTTACACAAACGTCACTCTCGTGCGTTAGTATAAAAGAGCGTTTAAAAAATCGCTTAAGCGATAATAGCTCCTTTCTTAGGACATTGTCAGACAAAGTCAAAGAATACACTTTAAAACATTTATAATTTCTAAATTTTTGTATCGTTTTGGAAGTTTTAAACAAGAAAAAAAGCAGTACTTATAGTATATTATTATCCTATTAATAAAATGGGAGAATTGTGATATTTAAATAATTTCAATTAATATCAAAACCTTAAAGAATAGGTACTTAAAATCTGAAGCATTTTTAAACGAAGAAAAATATAAAACTGTCTTATAAAACTTTGAGAATTCACTAATGCATGTTCGAAGCATCAGCTACCCCAAATTGATAATAATCCCGTATTAAAAAAAAAATAAAAAAAAATCTGTACGGATTTATCAAATATATAATTGGTCACGGTTAATCGCGTACCTATCTATTGTTTGTTTATATTTTGTTTTGTTATATTGCTGGGTTGGAACGAGGCGAGCTGCGGCGGGCGATAGATATTATTATTTGTACCAAGCGATTGCTGGCGACCGCAAGCCCGCGTTCCCCGCACGCCGCGGCCCACCGGCAGACGCGCGCGTCCGTTCGCTCGATACGATCCAGCGTCTGAATAGGATGTCCACACTAACGATATTTTTAAACTTTAATGCGTTTTTGTATAATACCAAGTTTAGGTATCCGAATTGAGAAACATTACAACTTAGTTACTGTTAAGAGATAATTGCCGGAATAGGTATAAAAAATGTATTAAATTACATATCTATATTTTATATTTGATGTAATAATATATATTTTTGCAATAACTGTAATTTTTTTTATAAAATATTACATTTTGCAAAAAATATATATATATATTTAAAACGTTACCCCTATACTAGGATTTTCTCCTGTATCGTAGGAGCAATTTACAAACATAAATTGCACGAGGACAAACATCCAGACCCGGAATAATTATTTGTAGGCCATACAAATACTTGTTCCGTGCGGGATACGAACCCGCGACTCCCAGCGCAGCCACTCATTGCTAAGCCACTACGCCACGGAGTCGTCAAAAAAATATATACATACATACATAACATGAATAAACAATGAAAATACATCATTGCTAAGAATGAATGAAATAGATTAATAATCTATAATCTATTTCATTCATTCTTAGAAATAGATTAATAATCTAATAAAGAAAAACCCCTAACGAATATTTTCTTCCAAATCGTGAGAGCGATTTACATACACCGGAACGATGTTACGCGACCAAACGCTTTTACTACCTAGCTCTGGAGCCTTCAAAATTAATTCTTGTTTATAATAGTAATAGTAATTTAAGATAATTTAATTAAATGATTAAGGTGCAGGGCATTTCCATTTATATCATCACAGTCCAGCAGCGATAACGAAAAAAGTGTGTCGCCCTAACAAAACGCCGCCATTTTAGAATTAACCGCGCGTTTCTCCGCGGCGGCGCGTCAGTCGCTCGGAATCCGCCCGTTTGTGTGTACAATACGCGTTTTGAAGCTACATCAGTTTCAAACTCACTCCGGTAAAATTTTACAAGATGACTACGATGCATTTTGAATATGATCCAGAAAGATTAATAGAAGCAGTGAGGAAGCGTCCTGGGATATGGGATTTCGAAGATGTTGCATATCGTGCAAAGGCAATGCGTCAAAAACTATGGACGGATGTTGTAAACGAACTTATGGAGGCTGACGTAAAGGTCACGAAGAGTGAAATGCGGGAACTCGGTAAAACAAATAATTCTTACGTTACGTAAATGTATTATTATTTACACTATATATTCATATATATTTTAAGGACATATTTATCATCGTTTAAAATTTACAATCAAAATAAGTGTATATAAATACCTCTTTTCATTTGTTTACATTTGATAATCCCTATATATAAAAATCAATTGCTGTACGTTAGTGTCGCAAAAACTCGAAAATGGTTGGACCGATTTTGATTGCATTTTTTTTGTGTTTGAATGGGTTCCTGGATGGTTTTAGTTTCATAATTGGACCTGGTAGGTGGCGCTGTTGTCGAGATTCAGAAATCACCCGTGCGACATCGGGGTAGATCACTAGTAAGACTAAAGATTGGATTATAATAATATCGAGACAGAACAACAGTCGAAGTTACATATTATAACATTGTTATGTCGCTACTCTTTCTTGTTCAGCTTTATAATATAGCAGTTAGTAGACTATTGGTCAAATACTCAAACACTACTAAATTTTAATATGTTAAGTCTCGTGGTGTGACAGTCACTTTGATTTAAAGTGATAGAGACGGCATGACAAGCAACGGCGTATTAAAATTAAGCAGTTTGAGTATTTGGGCATATGAATAGCTGTTTCATCACAAATAAATTACAGTTGACTATAGAGTACAAATTCAATGAAAAAACACTTGAAAGAAGTAATTATGTGACATTGTTACATTTTTATTAGCAGAAACTTTTTACATTACACAAATCTAACGTGTCGAGGAGTTCCCTGACGCGAGTCGAAAGCGTGCTTTGCTTTGTTTACCGTAGACAGTTTGTTTATAAACAAAACCAAGGGTGCTCACGCATGTGCGCCGTAGATTTTAGTTATTCTGTATTCTAACACGAGGTGAGTTTGTTAGCTCGTCACATTACAAGAACACAGTAGCACGTTTTAATTAAGATGGAATAGCTAATTTTTATAGAATAGGGGTGACAAACGAGCACACAGTCCACCTGATGGTAAGTGGATGCTGTGGCCCATAGACATCTACATTTATCCTCGATTACGAATCAAAACGCAGATGCATCGTCAAGCCTGAGAACTAAGATGGAATGCCTCGTTTCCAGTAAAAAAAGGGTCTCCGAATCTCTACACTCACCATACAAAACGCAGCAGCATTAATCTGCTATTTTATGCTGGTATTCTGAGAGAGCGTGGTCCTGCCCCGGTCGAGCCGACCCATTCGTGCTACAACCATAATATAGCTGCAGCGTGACTCTACCATGAATAATGCTATATATAATTAGTACTAGATTATTTTTTAATGCTTCGATGGTCTAGTGGCCGTAAGCGCGAATGCTGATCAGGAAGCCCTGAGTTTGATTCCCGGGTCGAATCAAAATCAGTTATTGGGCTTTTTCTCTCAAGAAATTCTAAAGAGCAGCCCGGAGTCGGGGGAAGTTGGCGGAGTTTCAACTCCGTTCCTTGGAAAGCACGTAAAGTCGCTGGTCCTGCGCCTGATCATTCGCCGGTCGTGTCATCGGACTACGAGAGTGAGATAATAGAGAGTGCAATATGTGTTTGCGCTCCATTTGTGCAATACAATCAGGTCCTACGTGTATGGTTAATATCCGTTGAGACCAACGTGGACTGGCCGCCGTGACCAAAATTCTGTATTAGACGACATTAATATTTTGTTTATAATAACCGATTTAAATGAAGATTTAAAACTCAGAATAATAACATAGATAATTTTTTTTTTTTTTCAGAACTACAACTGCAGAAAAAATGGAAAAGCATACGAGACTGCTTTCAAAAATACGTAATGAATCAAAAGAGATCCAAGAGACCATACATCTACAGCAAAAAGCTACAGTTTCTTCTCAAAGGTCAAGACCCCACTGAACCGTGCGCTTCAACAGACTCTGAGGGGGGCGATAAGAAGTCCAGTATTTGGAAAACGAAAAGAAAACTGAAAATAAGAAAAGAGAGCTCCGATGATGAAGATAACGACAATTATAATGATATTGAAGATTCAAAATCAAATTGCTCCAACGAAATCATCGAAACACAAACGCCCGCGAAAAAATCTAAAATGAACAGCGTTGTAGTAGACGAATTCGCTTTCGCTAATGTCGACTCTCAGGTGATGAACGATTCAGAGGACTGTGATAAATTATTCCTTCTGTCCCTTCTGCCACATTTAAAGTCGATACCGGAAGAATTTCGATTGAATGTCAAAATGGAAATGATGAACGTACTCCGGAATGCTAATTTAAGAACATCCATAGATCATAAAATACTTTGATTGTAGTTTAATTATAAACGCTGTGATAACAGCGCTCGTAGTAGTACAATGGGTGCGTTTGGCAGAAAAAAGCGCTAGCAAGCGCTTGTAAGCAAAATGGCGATCGTAAGCGGTAAGCGCTGTCAAATCGTAAGTAGCTATTTTCTTCTAGGACACGAAGTTAGTTTTAACCGGGGAACCTAACTTAATTTAAATATATGTTTGTAAAGTATTCATATTAAAAACTTACCAATCATTAATTTTTAATAACATGTATATGTCTATTAATGTCATTATATTACTTAAAACTAATATTACACAAAACAACTTATAAACTCTAATTCCAAACAAACAAATTAAATAAGCAAAATGGCGGATTGTGTCAGCGCTACTGAAGTTAGCAAACGTGTCCTGGCCGAAAACTGGTTAGTTTCGCCATTTTGCTTACAAGCGCTTGCTAGCGCTTTTTTCTGCCAAACGCACCCAATTTGTTAAGATTTAAATCTTAGAGTTAATTTGTTGTCTTTCTATACGTTACATTCCCATAAAAGTTACAATAATAGGCGTATAAATTTTATTTGTGCGTTTCATTTATATTTTCACAATTTAAATATCAACATTATGTAGGGTATATGCAACCATTTTAACCTTGAAATAAAAAAAAAACGGTTACAATATCATAGAAATAGATATGTATCTAACAGAGTTATGCCTGTGTTAATTTTTTATTATAGAAAAGGGGGCAAACGATCATGCCGATCACCTGATGATGTAAGTGTAGACTAGACCGGATGCCGGTCGTAAAAAAAAAGCTCATGTTTTTATTACATGAAGGTTCTTAAGCACTAAGTCTAAAATCGCCGGTGATAAACGATTCCACATACTCGTAGAAGTCGTGCGAGGAAGAAAACTCTTAGTAAATCACAGTGGTGGACTGCCAAGCATCTAGATGACGTGGCTAGATGTTAAAATTAAAACGTTTTATTTTATAATTCATTTAACAAAAATTGAATGTCTGTCAGTGATCGCAAATGAAACAGATTCGGTTTGTGGTGACTGATATTTTTTGTTTATTGTTAATAATTATTGTAACTTCCATTTCTTTGTTAAAAATATCAATAGAATAATGCAATAAAAGTACATAGACGTAAGGAGATGAGAGATGAGATTTGTAAATGTAAATTTTATTGTAATTAAAAATATCAAACTTCGATATGAATGAATTTATACTGTAATTATTAAAATAATAATAGCTTATAAAGATACAATAATTTAATAAATAATTTATGAACAATTTATCGTATAAGAATTCAAAATTTCTTTGTATTTAAATAAAGCTTTAATATACAATTTTGTACATTATATTCGAATTTAACTAAATACAAAAATTTTAAAACATAATATTAGATTAGTGTAATAAATTATATTTAATTTAATTTTGCGTGACAATTATGGCAAAACATCAGTGCCACATTTTTTAAGCAAATAAATATTCTACCCATCTATCTATCTAGGGACAATATTGTTTCTTTTAGGGATAAGAGAGACAAAAAAAATTTAATAATAAAAACATAGAGGTAATTTGAAATTAAAACTTGCAAGTATCCCAACCCTGCATTGGATCAAGTTATATTATCAACATATCACCCTGGTGGATTGCGGATCGCAGAATCTATTGTCTCACACTGACGTTACTTCCTCACTAATATCGAGTCGATGACTTCTATGCTGCTCACAGATAGCCTGAAGTCTGAACGTCAGTTATTTAATTTTACTGCGTCAGAAAAAAATGAGACAGACGTACCCAACAATTTGGCTTCAAAATATACGTAAACAACTTCAAAATATACACCTTACCTGAGATCCAAATACGTAAGAGATTGCAGACCCCCAACAGTCTCCGGTACGCTTCTTATAATATTCTGCGACAGCAACAACTTTTCTAAATACACGTACGTGGTCACTTCATCAGGCACTTCACTAAATCTATTCTTAGACAAATCTGAAACAAAGAAGGATTTATTTTAGTATGAAACATTTCTCACATCTCATTTCATTCGTATGAAAGCTTATATTGATCCGCATAGTTGTTACGAGCGTGGGGGATATTAAACATTGGGGAAGAGAACAAAGTTTTCTTGTCGCGCATCGTGGTTTTACGATTAAAGTAATGGCTAACCATAAAAGATCGTAATTTGGTGCGGGTTGTGTAACCTCATTAAAATAAACATTATTTATTAAGCATTTACACATTCAAAGGAGCAGACTATCACAAAATACAAATTAATTAGACGTAGTTTCATAACCCTTTCAGATGAGAGGATCTGTGCCTGGCTGTGGAACGTATTAGCATCATAATAACATCATTTTTTTACATTACACGACTTACTCGTTATGCATACGGGTACATCGGTGTACTCACAGGCCTTTACCAGCATAATTAGAAGAAGTGAGGCATTTCAACGTAGTACTCAAGAGTTTTTTACAACGCATCTAAAACCTTCCAAAGTCGGTTGCAGGTGTTCATTGCTTATTCGGTAGGGTCGCAAAACCACTCATCAATTGGATTGTTAGCCCCTATGTCAGTAGAACCTCGATAAGATAAAGACCAAGGGAAACGTTGAATAATTTGAGTTATTGAGGTTTTTACTTACTAAGGGTTTAAGTTAAGGCGTTTTTAATGGTTTATGTTTATACTTATAGAGGTTCGTTTATGAGATTTGTTTAGGAATTATACACATAGATAGAGGAGCTAGGTTAAATGCAAATGAAACGTACTTCATTTTAGGTTTAAAGATACATTTATTCAAGTTTATTTTATTCTACATAAAAAGTCGGTAACTTTTTTGTTTCAAACTATTCACTCTTTCTATATCAATTTTATTTTCAATATTAAATAAAGAAGAGAATATATCACCCTCTGTGTTACTGCATTTCTCTATAAAAGATCGTATTGTTTAAAGCTTTCCTTTCTTCGCTGATAGATATAATTTTAGGTGGATCATGGCAAAAAGCTAATGATACAAATAAGTTACAGTACTGCCTGTACTATTTGTACACCTTAGTGTATTGTTTACATTTGAAGCCATTTGGTAAACATGTGTAAACAATAACAATGGTCTACACTCTACAGGGAACCTATAAAGTTGCAAAGGTCTTCTTCGATACAACTTTGAGTTACTGAGGTGCGATGCGCAAATTAGAGGGTTTGTGTATTTTAAGTAGAAGAGTTTTTGGACTCCGAGTGGAAGGGAACACAAAATTTTGTGAGTTTATAGAGGTTATTAGTTACGTTATCGAGGTTTAAGTTATCAAGGTTCTACTGTATTACAAAGAACCTTTTAATTAACTTTCCAATAAACTTACGTAAGCTAAACTTCCGCAAGTAAGAATAAATTTTTAGCTCGTATATTATAATATTATATTATGGCATTACTTGGGTGTGGCCTATATTCAGCTGTGAACGTGTAATGGGTTGTAATGATGATGATGATGATGATTTAGGTGTACTTTGCATATACTTCCATTTCAACGTTTTCATACGAAAGGGTCGGGCAACTACTAATGTACATAAATTGTGTGAATCACAGTAAATTTGCATAATATTAAATAGCTTAAAGTCAATTTCGTCTCCTTCTTCATCAGCTCGCAAAATCCACTGTAGAACATGCACCTCTCCTTTTTTTAATATGCAAGTATTGCGGGCGGACTGGCGTTAGCATCGAGGTACTTACTGGTCCTCCCGCATCTTAGACACTGGTGTGGGTGTTTTTCAACAAGATAGTTGTACCGTCTTTTTCGCAGCCCATAAGATTTTTCTCGCATTGCCCATAGCCACCTTCATTTTATACGTGGTAGAGCCACGCTGCAGCTATTTATGATTGTAGCACGAATGGGTCAGCTCGACCGGGGAAGGACCAGGCTCTCACAGAATACCAGCGTAAAATAGTAGCTTAATGCTGCTGCGTTTCATATGGTGAGAGTGTAGAGATCCGGAGACCCTTTTTACTGGAAACTTTTTACGAGGCATTCCATTTTAGTCCTCACGGGAGACAACGCATCTGCATTTTGATTTGTAATCGAGGATAGATGTAGATGCCCTGATGTGCCCGTTTCTCAACCTATCCTACAAAAAAAGATACTTCAACCTAATCCGATTAAATTATAAACTCCATTATAGAGATAAAAATGAAATAAACGGCAAAATATTTATATCATAGATAATATATCATATATACATATATATCATATATACATATACATTATATATGATAGCTATGAATGATAAATACAATGTTCATGTACCCAAACGGCAATAACAACTTAATGAGAGGAATTTATATAACTTGCATAAATGCGGTGGGATACTTCTGCGTAAACCAGTCGTAGTTCGATGACTCTGTAATTTAGCTGCAGGGGTTAGGCGTGGCTGGATCAGCTTACTGGACATAAATACGGGCGAACTATTGTAAAATTAATGACGACATCTCAGAAGTTTTTATGTCTTTTTATTCCATTATCAATGTTCAGAAACCAATTTATATAGTATCAAAAGAAAAGCAAAGCAAGAAATTTAAAGAATGCTATTCTATTGTATAAAGTTAAAGTTACAGCCTATATACGTCCCACTGCTGGAAACAGGCCTCTTCTTATTTCTGAGAGGGTTTTAGAGCAAGGAAGTGTCCGCCGCGCTGCCCCAAAGCGTGTTTTCGAACTTCACATATCTTTGAATTTTTTTTTCTTATTCCTCAGGTACGTATGTTTCCTCACTATGTTTTACTTAACCGTCGAGCACGTGGTAAATCATCAGCACATAAAATCACAATTAATAATATCATTGGTGCCGGCGGGTTCGAACCCGGTTTGCTCGCGTACTGTAAAATTTACAGCGGGCGCTAACCATCTGAGCTACAACGGCTCTGTTCTACCGTACATTCTGTCGTGTAGTTAACTTTAAACATGTTACTTTTTGGGCTATGCCAACCCTTTGCTTGTTGTAATACATAATTATATCAACATCTAAATCTAAACAGTAAGATAAACGTACAACATTCAATCTATATTT